GATTACAAATTCCCCTGTTCCCCAAAGGCTTTGTATATATATTTCCTGAGCACTGCTTTAAAATGAACTCTGCCTGATGTGACTTTTGATTCCCTTCCCAAGCATTAGGTACCTTTATATATACTGTATTGAGCAACCAGCCTTCATCTCTACATTGGCACAAAACCTTCTCTATTCAACCTTTTTCATGTCTATATAAAAGTGAAATCTGTATATATTCACCAAGAGGGAATACAGAAGGGGCAGACTTGCCACGAAGCTCTGCAGTTAGCAAGGAAAGGGGATTTTTTAATATATCTGTATAGATGGGGAAAAGGTTAAACTAGAGAATGTTTTGGAGAAATGTAGAGATGAAGGTTGGTTCCTCAATAGGGTAAGGCCATCTCTAGCAATTCTTCTACTGTTTAATTCAGATTCATGGGGCGTTATTGGTAGAATGCAGCGCAATCAGATGGTAATTGCTCTTTGGCTCCTAGTTAGCTGAGGCTTTGCTAGAACAGATATAATGTGTGGGAGTTTTTCCTTTCTACAGATTGGAAGAAATCCATAGAATCAGTTTAAGTAGTAACAACTGGGAGACCAGGAGCAAAATTAAACCTGCAAGAGGACAGGCAGTTTAAAGCATCATTCCAAGTCATAGAAAGAGGAATTTTTAGCTTCTTTCTGATGGCCTTCCCTTGTGCCCCAGGAAATCCATAAACATCACTCAAAACCTTCTTCGGCATGAATTTAATCACTGTGTCAACAAAGCGGACTTTGGGTCATGTTTTAGTGTGGAGATGAGAAATGAGAGATTTAGGCTGAGGAATTCATGATAAAGCTGCTCACATAAGGGGGCCGGGCACAAGGAGACAGATATAGATATAGATATAGATATAGATATAGATATAGATATAGATATAGATATAGATATAGATATAGATATATAAAATCCCCTTTCCTTGCTAACTGCCCAGGATCATGGCCAGTCTCCCCCTTGTACGTTCACTGTTGGTGATTATCTTCAAAACCCAAGGACATCTTCGTGTCACATGATGCTACATACTGATTAGGCAAGGCACAGGGTTTCTGTGCAGCTTTTAGACTTCCATTTTCATGCCAGAAGTGTATCCTGTGCTTCATATAAAGACACGTCTGAAGATTTCGGCTCAGTATCTACTTCCAGGTGTATCAAATTCTGCTGACAACACTTTGGACATTATCACTCAAGGATGGGGTGAATGGAATCCACTTTCCTTCTGTCGATGAACTGTGAACTTCATCTATACAGGACTTAAAATCCATCACTTTTTGTCTGCAGGTTCTGCCATCCCCAGTCACTTCAGCCCTCAGTACGGTGACACAATAATCTTCCACTCACCAGTTTTGAAGACCTTCGACCACTACTTTCAGGTATGTTATAATTTTGGAAGGCTTAATCTGACCCAAGGAGATGCAAATAACATAGTAGTAGGCATTCCTTCATTACCTGTATATTTCTGTACCTGATATTTCCTATCAAAATCTTTCTTGCCATATTTATATCTTGATAGTCCCATCAATCTCAATTGACTTTTTCTGGTTTTAACTCATTTTCCATCCTAATTGTAGCCATCGTAGCAGAACAGTAGAAGTATCTCATGAGCCATTAAACTGTCTGAAACCCACAGTTTTAATGACCAAGGGAGTAAAATGGTCTAACATTTCCTCCAACATACATTTTCAGCAATTTTGCCTCTTCTCTTCCATATGAATATTCATCCCATTTCTTTGTGCATCTACTTGGGGACTCCCACTTAATCCCAGAAAGTTTGCAAACACACATGCATGAAATCTTGTATATTTAGGTAGATTAAAGTGGTGTGTGTGTGTGTTTGTGTGTATTTTACTTTTTTTTTTGGAATATCTGTAGCTCTGCAAAGTGTATAAGCTGCCCATTTCCCCTTGGCAGGTTCTCTTCCCTCATGTCATCTTCTAACTGCTGGTTGCAGATCAGAGATGATTCTCTCATATCCTTCCAAGGGAGGCTGAGGGTCCTGTGTCCAGGACCTCTGCTATTCCCTGCTTCTTACACTCCAGGCAGCATACCACCATTCTTGAAAAGGCACAAGCATTGAGAAAAATGCTTCCTTGCAAAGTGGTAGAGAGACTTCACTGAATTTCACTACATTGAAACCATCCAGTACTAAATACAGTGGAACCTCAGGTTATGAACGCTTCTGTTCACAAACTTTTCGGGTGACGACCAGCTCCAGCCGCAAAATTTTGCTTCGGTTCGCGAACTCTGCCTCGGGTCACAAACAGTATCCACGGCCATTTTCCCTCCCGTGACATGGATCACGGCCATTTTCCCGCCCCTGACACGTGGTCCGCGGCCATTTTCCCGCCCCTGACATGTGGTCCGCGGCCATTTTTCCGCCCCTGACACGTGGTCCGCGGCCATTTTCCCGCCCCTGACACGTGGTCCGCGGCCATTTTCCCGCCCCTGACACGTGGTCCGCGGCCATTTTCCCGCCCCTGACACGTGGTCCGCGGCCATTTTCCCGCCCCTGACACGTGGTCCGCGGCCATTTTCCCGCCCCTGACACGTGGTCCGCGGCCATTTTCCCGCCCCTGACACGTGGTCCGCGGCCATTTTCCCGCCCCTGACACGTGGTCCGCGGCCATTTTCCCGCCCCTGACACGTGGTCCGCGGCCATTTTCCCGCCCCTGACACGTGGTCCGCGGCCATTTTCCCGCCCCTGACATGTGGTCCACGGCCATTTTCCACCCCTGACACGTGGTCCGCGGCCTTTTTCCGCTCCTGACACGTGGTCCGCGGCCATTTTTCCGCCCCTGACACGTGGTCCGCTGCCATTTTTCCGCCCCTGACACGTGGTCCGCTGCCATTTTTCCGCCCCTGACACATGGTCCGCGGCCTTTTTCTGCCCCTGACATGTGGTCCGCTGCCATTTTTCCGCCCCTGACACGTGGTCCGCTGCCATTTTTCTGCCCCTGACACGTGGTCCGCTGCCATTTTTCCACCCCTGACCCGTGGTCCGCAACCATTTTCC